CAGGCACGGCAGCATTCGATGCTGGAGTTCAAGTCGCAGAGGTGCAACAAACGAAGCCGCTAACGTTTGGAAAGAAATTGCAAGTAATTCCATCTCCCTATGCTGTGAGTGTCACTCAAACAACTACTGAACTTCCAGTTCCGCAACCTGTTCGCGTTGAGGAAGCACCGAAGGTGTTTGCTGCACCTCCACCGCAACCGCAGATACCAACGGAAGACAGAGCATGCGAAGCCATTGTTGACACAGCTGCTTTTGACGCCGGGGTGCAGGCTGCGGAAGTGCAACAACCGAAACCAGTGGTGTTAGGAAAGAAACTCCAGGTGACACCGTCACCCTACGTTACCACTATTTCTCAAACAACAGTTGAATACCCAGTTCCACAACCTGTGCGCGTTGAGGAAGCACCAAAGGTGTTCGCCGCACCTCCACCGCAACCGCAGATTCCGACTGAAGACAGGGCATGCGATGCGATTGCAACCACGGCAGCATTTGATGCTGGAGTGCAGGCAGCAGAGGTGCAGCCACCAAAGCCAACTGTACTAGGAAAGAAACTGCAGGTTGCACTGTCTCCCTACGCTGTGAGTGTTACTCAAACAACCGGTGATTTACCAGTTCGCGTTGCCGCGCCTCCACAACAACCGCAGATTCCAACTGAAGAAAAAGCTTGCGAAGCCATGGCAAGCACTGCTACATTTGACGCTGGGGTGCAAGCCGCGGAGGTGCAAAAAGCGAAACCGGTAACATTTGGAAAGAAACTGCAGGTTGCACCGTCTCCCTATGCTGTGAGTGTTACTCAAACAACTGCTGATATTCCAGCTCCACAAACTGTACGCGTTGAGGAAGCACCGAAGGTGTTTGCTGCACCTCCACCTCAACCGCAGATTCCAACAGAAGACAGAGCATGCGATGCCATTGTTAGCACTGCTGCATTTGACGCTGGAATACAAGCTGCTGAAATGCAACCGGCAAAGCCAGTATCACTAGGAAAGAAACTGCAGGTAACACCGTCACCATATGCCGTGAGTGTCACTCAAACAACAGCTGAATATTCAGCTTCAAAAATGGCTCCTGTGTTAGCACCTGTTCTTACAACAACCACCGTTCAGACGGAGCTCGTTCAGGAAAGAAAGCTGCAGATGACGTATGTTGGCATTCAAACGGCCGACATTTTGCCTCAACCTGCACCTCAAGTTGTCCGCGTTGAGGAGGCACCGAAGGTGTTTGCTGCACCTCCACCACAACCGCAGATTCCAACTGAAGACAGAGCATGCGAAGCCATTGTTAGCACTGCCGCATTTGACGCTGGAACACAAGCCGCTGAGATGCAACCGTCAAAGCCAGTATCACTAGGAAAGAAACTGCAGGTAACACCGTCACCATATGCCGTGAGTGTCGCTCAAACAACAGCTGAATATTCAGCTCCAAAAATGGCTTCTGTGTTAGCACCTGTTCTTACAACAACCACCGTTCAGACGGAGCTCATTCAGGAAAGAATGCTGCAGATGACGTATGTTGGCATTCAAACGGCCGACATTTTGCCTCAGCCTGCACCTCAAGTTGTCCGCGTTGAGGAGGCACCGAAGGTGTTTGCTGCACCTCCACCACAACCGCAGATTCCAACTGA